GAATCTAAGAATATTCCTGACTTCAGTCAGGTGACAGTCTTCCATTATGTGTTTCAAAGGGAGGAGATTCGTATAATAGTATTTTCCTTACCTGATCAACTTTTTGATTTTTTCTGCGTTTAAACGTCGTCTTCTCCTGTAGCCCTATGTGATGGAATAGGTTTGTCGACTTAATTCAAACGAACAAACACCACTCCAAACACGGGATTCTGGGGATTATTTCTGTATTTTTTTAAATTTTATTCCCCTGAATTTGTATTTTTAACTATTACAGAAGGTGGTGCCAACAAAACATGTGAAACATTTTTTGAATGTGGAGAATCAAAAGAAATGAGATTATCAATGAAAAACGAAGAATTAAGAGCAGGAGCAGTGCAAACAGAGGTAGATGAGAGACCGAGAAGACATGCAGCAACAGAAGTAGTATCATCTAATTGTGGATCATCTGGATACAACGCATAAAGCGCGTTTTCGATAATAGCTGGGGAATTTGTGTTGCTATCTCCTACATTCGTCTGATCAAGACTATCTTCAATAGGCGTTGGCAGTTGTTCTTCATCTTGTATGTCATTGTCTTTAACGATTCTCCAAAACTCTTGATCAGATCGCGGTCTTTGTCCAAACATTACTTCATATGGTGTACACTTTGTAGTTGATGAGATCCGAGTATTAATTTCATATACAACAGGCAAAAGATCTTCAGACCAATGACTCGAATTCTCATCAGACATCCATTTTTCTAACGTACTTGTCAATACACCATTTGCTCTTTCGACACAACCTTGCGACTGCGGATGACGTGACCTGCCTCGAACGAAACGCATTGATGGAAACAAAACCTTTAGTTCAACAATCACATTCGCAACAAACTCTCCACCGGTATCAGAATGGAGAAGACGTGGCGGACCGAAAACATAAAACAAACCTCGAAGACATTTTGCTACTTCAACGGCTGATTTATTTTTTAAAGGAAAAGCCCAAGAAAACTTTGGAAAATGATCGATACAATTCAGAATTGAGTTCACTGGAAAACAGCATCACTTGAAATTGCATCGGGACGTGTACGCATGTCAATCAAGTCTATTTGTAGTCTTGTCATTACACCCAATGATATAATGGGCTTTGATACAACGGGCTGCTTAACTGGTTTACGCACCTGACAGGCAATACAACCTTTTAAAAATATTTCCACAGCAAACCTTGGTACCCAGGAATAATGGGAGTTCACTTCAGCTAACGTTTTATCTCTCCCACCATGCGAAACACTCGCATGAGATTCACTTAAAATATTGAACAGCGATTCACATAAACACACAGGCTTTTTCGTCTTCAAACAACAAAGAAGATCGACTCCAGCAGATTTCACCAAAACAAACTTTTTCCTGGCCCAGAAAACAAAATTTGAAGAACCAGAATCCAAAGTCCTACCTTTTTCGAGTAATAATGCTTTAAGGATATTATCATAAGTTTTTTTTTATAACTGATTTCTGCTTATATTTTTGCTGTAAACAGCAGAGATGTTTTTCTAACTCATAAAAACCTTTTTAAGGAGTATTTGGAGAAACGGTAGAGACAGTAGTTACAGCAGAAGTCGATGTTTTCTCTCTTATATACTAGTATTCATCGCAAAGACTGATAGTCCTTGTTATGTACAATGACCTATGACTTACTCATGTCGTCCAGTTAACTGCTGCAATAACAGCCACAATAAACTGAAAAGAAACGAAAAAAGTCTTTTTACTTAAAAAAAGCACGTTTTCAGTCATACGAACGACATTTATATCTACAAAATAAAGGCAAACTCCACTCTCTGACTCTGAATTTCAACAAAAGCGAAAATTAAATACGTAATATAAGGTTTATTTGTTGTTCTATCACTTTCCACTGTACTTGGTTTTTAGAAAATGACTTCTCATCATATCCCGACCCCTTCAAATGACATCAGTCTCTCCTCCTTCCTTTGAAACACGTAGTAGAAGACTGTCACCTGACTGAAGTCAGGAATATTCTTAGATGATGTCAAAATTTAATTTATAAATAATATAATTATATTCAGGCAAAACTCAAATCATTGAAAGTAAATCCAAGTCTCACCAGTCTTGATCTTGGATACAACGAAATAGCCGACAAAGGAGGTGAAGCAATTACCGGTGCATTGAAAGTCAATCAAATTCTCACCACTGTTTGTCTTGTATGGAACCAAATATCTGGCAAAGGAGGTGAAGCAATCGCCGATGCATTGAAGGTAAATCCAAGTCTCACCAATCTTGATCTTGGATACAACGAAATAGCCGACAAAGGAGGTGAAGCAACCGCTGATGCGTTGAAAGTAAATCAAACTCTCACTACTCTCTATATTGCATGAAACCAGATATCTGACAAACGAGGTGATGCAATCGCCAGTGCACTGAAAGTAAATCAAACTCTCACCACTCTTTATCTTGCATGGGGCCAAATTTCTGACAAAGGAGGTGAAGCAATCACCGATGCGTTGAAGGTAAATCGAACTCTCACCAGTCTTTATCTTGGACGGAACCAAATGTCTGGCAAAGGAGGTGAATCAATCGCCGATTCATTGAAAGTACACACGAAACACATCAACTTACTTCTGCTTGTGCTCTCTTCATTACTGATTGATTCTCTCCATTTATTGATTTGTGGGCTGAAGTCATCTTTCCATTCTTGTGGTATATGCCACAATGCATCTTCGAAAGAAGGTATTTTCTCGTAACGGTTATTCCAAACGATAGTACCAAGTTTTTTTAAAGTACTTTCAAAACTCTCATGTATTTTCTTTGACATGTTTTCGTAAGCTAATGCGTATTTGGGGTTGACGGAAAACATCGAAAGGAAACATGTCGAAAAGGAAAATGTCGATAAAAAAAGAGCAAGACGTCGAATAGGAAAATGTAGAAGAGCAAAATGCCGAAAAGGCAAGCGACGAAAGCGGATAATGGAAGAAGGAAAATATCGAAAGGAAAACACCGAAAAGAAGGAGATTTCTTTTTGTTCCTTTAAAAATCACTGAAAGAGATATTATATTAAACTGCATAGAGAAAGAGAGTAGAAGAGAAATGATAGGGCCAATAGATTGTGAACTAACTTTTTCGTTTATCCTGATCTAGAATGATAATCGAGCCAGTAGCTGTTCTGCATTAAATTCTCTATTGAGAAATCATCCATGGAGTGTGTCAAATCGTTGTTGAAAAACTGCTGTATTTCCTGATTGCTTTGGGGCTGATGTCCCCGGTGGGGTGAGGGTGAGGCGTTCATCGTAGCAGCCATACTGAACTTCATCATACTTTACTTTTTCGACGAGTGGCTATAATTACTACGAGGTTGGGGACGTCTGATGAGAACCAATAGTAGTTCTAATGATAATAATATGTATATCTTATTCAGTGATTGTCAAGGAACAGAAAGACATCTCCTTCTTTTCGGTGTTTTCCTTTCGATATTTTCCTTCTTCCATTATCCACTTTCGTCGCTTGCCTTTTCGGCATTTTGCTCTTCCACATTTTCCTCTTCGACGTTTTGCTCTTTTTTTATCGACATTTTCCTTTCGATATTTTCCACCAAGACCGCGTATTTAGGAGGAAATTGTTTTTGAACTGCATCTAAATTTGCTAAAAATCTTTTTGGTGAATCCATAGCATATTTGCTAACATCTTCGAAGTTACGTTTCAGAATCTCGGTATCGATTTTTTTCAATCGGTCTTCTAGTTTTTTACTTTTCTCAATAACAGATTCACATGTAAAAATATCTGCTAATTCAGACTGCATACGAGAAAAACTTTTCGTCCTTCGATCAGCTTCTAAAAAACTATCAGTATTGAGAAAATTTTCAATAGCTTTAATTTTACTTAAAATAACATCAGATAAAATTGAAACGGTATCGTTCCTAAACTTTTGATTATCACATATGATGTTATTGTCAAGTAATTCCTTAAAACTGTTTTCTTCCGAAGTATTACAAATTTTTTCAATGTTACCTTTCATTTTTCTTATTTCATTCGGATTATGTTCTACTTCACTGTTTTCTTCTAGTTTCTTTACCTTATTTTTAGTATTATACATCAGCTATTTTAAAGAATCTTCTAAATGATGCTTAATTTCAGTAGAATACCCGACTTTTAAAAAACAGGCACAATTATTAGAAATTCTCATAGCTGCGTTTCGGTAGTTTCCATCAGATATACAGTTTATTATAAACTTAAAATCGATTTCCCATTGTGCATCAGTTGGTATGAGATACTGTCTATGTATATTCTCAAAGCCGTCATCTGAACGTTCAAATAAACAGAACGCATCTGCACAGTTCAATGGCCACCGCAATATGTAATCGAATTCTCAATTCTTTCATGTCACCATTAGCTTGATCTTTTTCGATTTCACGACTCAAACTACGATAACAACCAAGAAATGTAACATTCCAGCTTTTGATTTTTTTGGCTCCATTAATATATTTGAAAATATATTGGGTTTTACTAAACGAAGATAATTCACTTAGTCGCCTGCCTAAATCGTAAGAATACTGAGTAGAATTTCCTGCGCAGTCGATATGAATGATATTCTCATATATTGTTTCTATTTCTCGATCAAGAACATCACCATATTCATGTATATACTTTTGCAACATCTCTCTGGTATCAGCTACGATTTTTTGGTCACTCTCTCCGCCTTCTTTTTCACATAGGTTGACATACTCAAATGCCTCTTCCGCTACAGATACTTCTAATCTATCGCTAAAATAATATTCTTTCTTATTCTTCTTACATTCATCAACGATACATTTTTTCTCTTGAATTTTCTGATCAAGGAGTGTAAGGCTATTGAATCCTTCATTTTGTAGCAGATTTATCATCGCAGTAGAGTTAAATTTAGAGGAATCTAATAATGAGTTATACTTTAATCCAATCGACTCAAGATCATTTATGGAATCATTCAGCTCTTTATCAATCTTCTTAATATAATTCAGATTTTTTTCTTTTTCTGACGTGGTTTTTGTAATAGCTTCCATTACAGCAGCCACATTTGAAAATCCAGCGTCTTTTAAATAATCACCCTGCAAGCTTCTATGTCCAGCTGAATCATTTCTTTGCGCAGATTTGTTCGCGTGTTCTGTAAGAATTAATTCAAAACTTATCAATTGAAATTCTATCTTATCTGTCTCATTTTTGGCTGCATCTAATTTTTTCTTTTTCTCAACTTCTAGATCTTGAATCTTCTTGTTCAGTACATTTATATCTGACTAATTATGTTCTTGCAAATAAAAAAACTGCTGGATTCAAATTGTCGTACTCACGCTTCAGTTGTTCAAGCTCTACTATTTCTTATTCTATGTGGTATAGAATACAAGCTATTTCTTAATTTATATATTGTTTAAAAAAAGACCTATAAATAATTATTAAGTAACGTGTTGATTGAACTGAGCAAATGCTGCTTTCTTTCTGCTCGTTTTAGAAGCTGACACAACTACTACGGTCTAAAATTATTCAATTCTATTTTTGAATGAGTAGAAAAAGATCTTGCGAATCTGATGCTCAAAGAATTATTTAGTTTAGTCAGAAAATGAGTGATTTATAAGCGACTGATTACACAAAATATTTTTCATACTGCTCTTTTCATTCTCTTCTCTGTAGAGAGACAGAATACAATAAATGTGAAACAAATGTCAATATAGATATATCTTAGATATATATCCCATGTCGCGGCACATTTTCTGAGAATACCACGGTTACCGGCGGATCATCGAAATACTGCCAGTTGGACCGAATCGTTCGGTATATCCTGCGGTTTAGCGACCGTTTTTTCTAGATTTTTCTTTCATTATCATAATATGCGTAGCTCTTGTTTTTTCTGTCGCCGATAATAATGGGGCTTGTCTCGAAGAACGTTTGGGCGTTATATATGCAGTAGAGCGTATCCTAACCATCAGAACTCCTTTGTTTTTGATTTTTCACTAAAAACTGAAACAAATCTGAATACTGTTTTGAATAGCCCGAAAATTTTGCTATCAGATGAGGTGCATATCATTTTATGAGAAAACTTGATAATAAGGTTTTGGAATACTATAACTGTTCAGGGGTAAAAAGCTTTTTTTTTCAATTATAATAGGGTTTCTTGAAAACATGACCGCTAGAAAACTAAGTCTTTGGCTTTTAGTCCCAAAGTTTTGCAGACCACATAGCCTTATAGAGCAAAGACTTCTGAGAAAAATAAGATGTCTCCTGGATGTCTATAATGCTTTTTCGCTGAAATATTTTGATAATGTTCACGCCCACTTGTAGCCGTTCGTAAGTCGACTGCAGTGGGTGAAAAAGCGTTATAGACAGCCGGGAGATATCTTCTCGGAATTCTTTGCTCTATATTGACATTTGTTTCGCATTTGTTGTATTCTGTCTCTCTACAGAGAAGAGAATGAAAAGAGCAGTATGAAAAATATTTTGTGTAATCAGTCGCTTATAAATCACTCATTTTCTGACTAAACTAAATAATTCTTTGAGCATCAGATTC